ATATATTTTGAATAGTAAATATATTCCAATATTTAGTAAATATATTTTGAATAATAAGCATATTTCCAATATTCAGTAAATATATTTTGAATAGTAAATATATTCCAATATTTAGTAAATATATTTTGAATAGTAAATATATTCCAATATTTAGTAAATGTATTCCAATATTTAGCAAATATACTCCAATATTTAGTAAATACATTTTGAATTTTTGAATAATTAGCATATTCCAATATTTAGTAAATATATTTTGAATTTTTGAACAATAAACATATTACAATATTTAATAAACATATTTTGAACAGTAATTATATTCCAATATTTAGTAAATGTATTCCAATATTTAGTAAATATATTCCAATATTAAGTAAATATATTTTAAATATTTAGTAAATATATTCCGATATTTAGTAAATATATTTCAAAATCTTTTTTTAATTTATATTTTAATTTCTTCTTTTTTTACATTTCAAATTTACTTTTTCACTTTACAGCCAATAAATTTTATTATTCTTTTTCAAATTGTTTTAAAAATTTTTATTCAAAAAATTGTTCGTTTTGTTTCAGTTAATTAATTATTATTTTTTTATTAGAGTTATATTTAACTTTTCTTTTTTTCTTTTTTTAAAAAATTTTTATTTTCAACAAAACAAATTTCATTTATTATTTATCTTCCATTTATCAATTTTTCTCTCTTCCTTTTTTTCTCTCCCTCTCTCTCTCTCTCTCTCTCTATCTCTTTTATCTCTTTTTTCTCTGAAATTTTTTTATAAAATTTTATTTTTAATCTTTAACTTTTAATCCTATCGATACATACATATACATATATTTTTAAAATCATTGAATGAAAAATTTTGTCTCTTTAAAAAAAATTAAAAACAGATTTTAAAAAAAAAGCACATCAAAAATAGATTAAGAGAAAGGGATAAAGAGAGAGAGAGAGAGAAAAGTAAATGATAGAAGTGAATAGAAAGAGAGAGAGGGAAAGAGAGAGAGAGAGAGAGATAAGTGAATGATAGAAGTGAATAGAAAGAGAGAGAGAGGGAAAGAGATAGAGAGAGAAAAGTAAATGATAGAAGTGAATAGAAAGAGAGAGAGGGAAAGAGAGAGAAAAGTAAATGATAGAAGTGAATAGAGAGAGAGGGAGAGGGAAAGAGAGAGAGATAGAGAGAGAAAAGTAAATGATAGAAGTGAATAGAAAGAGAGAGAGAGAGAGAGAAAAGTAAATGATAGAAGTGAATAGAGAGAGAGGGAAAGAGAGAGAGAGAGAGAAAAGTGAATGATAGAAGTGAATAGAAAGAGAGAGAGGGAAAGAGATAGAGAGAGAAAAGTAAATGATAGAAGTGAATAGAAAGAGAGAGAGGGAAAGAGAGAGAGAGAGAAAAGTAAATGATAGAAGTGAATAGAAAGAGAGAGAGAGAGAAAAGTAAATGATAGAAGTGAATAGAGAGAGAGAGAGAGAAAAGTGAATGATAGAAGTGAATAATGAAAAATTCATAAATATTACACAACGTATTATCATACTATAAAACTTATTTTTGAATTCACATTAATTTATTTTATTATACAACATAATGTTTATAGCATCAATTAATTCAGTTAAAATTTCGATTTAATTGTAACTTTTTATCCCTTTACATCATTAAATTTTGTTATGATTGAAAGTTGCTGATCGAAAATTACTTTATTATGAATGTGATATATATATATATATATTGCGGATAATAATTTCCAGGATAGAAATAAACAAAATAAAAGAATGGAAAGAATTATTAGTTAATTTCAATAGTTAGAGAAAATAAGTAAGTGGAGAAAGAGAATGAATGATATAGAATAATAACGGAGAGAATATAGGTGGAGAAAATTTTGTGGAATAAATTAATCAGAATTAATAATTTGCAACTATTTCAAACAATTTTCATCTATGATATATTTTATCCTCTTTTTTTTTTCCATTAATAATTTATTGGTTTTGTTAATGAGTTTTATAAAAAAGGTGTACTTAAATTAGGAATAACTAAAATAGATGCTAAATAAGGTAGTAGTAAAAGGTTGTAGTGTTATGCTAAAATTAGAAATACTAAAATCGATGTCAAATTAGCTAGTAGTAATGGGTAGTAGTATTATGCTTAAATTAGCAATACTAAGAGAGATGCTAAATTAGGTAGCAATAATAGGTTGTAGTATTATGCTTGAATTAGGTGTACTAAAATAGATGCTAAAATAGATAGTGGTATTATACTTAAATTAGGAATACTAAAATAGATGCTAGATTAGGTAGTAATATTATGCTTAAATTAGGTATACTAAAATAGATGCTAAAATAGGTAGTGGTATTATACATAAATTAGGTACACTATAATAGATGCTAAATTAGGTAGTAGTAATAGGCTGTAGTATTATGCTTAAATTAGGAATACTAGAATAAATGCTAAATTAGGTAGTAGTAGTAAGTGATAGTACCAAAATATGTATAATTTGTTTCATTGTTAAATGCTTCAAATTTCTACTGTAATATTTATTACATTTAAAAATTTTCATTTGTTATATTTTATACCGGAAATATGATTCATATTTCTTTAATTTTAAAATTTTGAAAAATTTAAAAAAAAAAATTAATCATAGAAAATATATGATAAATTGTGAAAAAGTATATATACGATTATTTATGCACATGTTGTGTGAAATATTTTCTTAACTTTTTTGTGTTTGCTTTTTTAAATTTTCAATAAATTTAATTTTTATTCTGATATGATATCAATTATTGTTATCAATTTTGATATGATAATCAATTTTTGTTATCAATTTTGATATGATAATCAATTTTTGTTATCAATTTTGATATGATAATCAATTTTTGTTATTAATTTTGATATGATAGCAAATATTGTTATCAATTTTGATATGATAATCAACTTTTGTTATCAATTTTGATATGATAATCAATTTTTGTTATTAATTTTGATATGATAATCAATTTTTGTTATTAATTTTGATATGATAATCAATTTTTGTTATTAATTTTGATATGATAATCAATTTTTGTTATTAATTTTGATATGATAGCAAACATTGTTATCAATTTTGATATGATTATCAGTTATTGCTAACAATCATGAATTTAATTTTATTTTGATACGATATCAAAATTGATAACAAAAATTGTTATAATTACTCTTTGTTTATTTGATTAATAACAAATTTGCACAATTTATTTTCAGTATTATTTAAATAATACTGAAGATATATCAATTGTTAGCTTTACTTCCAATATAAATGAATGGATTTAGTTTAATAAAATAATTGCTAATTATTTAATCGATTAATATTATGCATTTATTTTTAGCATTATTTATATAATACTGAAAATACAGATCGCTGATATGATAGATTTCTAAGTGATATGTGATATATTGTAAATTATAAGTTATAAGCTTATAAGATATAAGTTAAATTATAAGTTACAAATTATAAGCTAAAATAATTGCTATCTGCTTATTTGATAAATAATAAATTTATGCATTTATTTTCAGTATTATTTAAATAATACTAAAGATATATCAATCGTTAATTTTACTCCGAATATAAATGAATGGATTTAGCTTAATAATTTAATTGCTATTTGTTTCTTCGATTAATATGCTTAAATATATGCATTTATTTTCCGCATTATTTATACAATACTAAAAATATATATATCGCTAATATGATATATTTCTTAATGATATGTGATATATTCTAAATTATAAGTTATATGCTTCTAATAAGTTAAATTATAAGTTACAATTTATAAGCTTAAAATATTGTCGTAAAATTTTTTTACAAAAAATATTTTTTTTCTACGCGATAAAAAAAAATTTAATATAAAATTATAATTTATGCAAAACCTTTTGTTCTTACTAATTTCATATCATATTTTTTATTAAAAAAAAATTTTTCAATTTTTCAATTTCTTTTTTTAAAAATTCTAAATATGTTTAATTTTTCCTGTTTCTTCCTTCGTAATAATTTCATTTGCTTTTTTTACGACTGTCAACAATCTATCATAAAGAGAGAGAGAGAGAGAGAGAGAGAGTATACGTCGAATTTTAGTGTTTTATGAAGTACATCAATTACTTGGAAAATTTAAAAAATCAATGTGAAACAAAAACGAAAGAAAAAAGTCAATCATTAAAGAAATCAATTTGGTTAATTTGTATTATCGTGTCTTCTGTTATAAAATATTAATATACTGCCGATTGTTAAATTTAATTCTTTTTTTTTGGTCTTTTGTATTTATTTTATAGTTTATATGCTATTAATAACATATTACCTGATAATAGATTATTATCAAAAAGAGATCTAATTTATTGTTATTCATTAGTAATAATAATTTTTTCTTTTAATTCAAATTACATTTTTTAATGTATTGATTGAAAAAGGTTATCATTTATTATCACTAATTATCACTTCGTAATAAAATATCATTTAAGTTAAGTAACATATTACGATAACAAATAAATTATTATCAAATTAGATCTAATTTATTGTTATTCAATAATAGTAATTCTTTTAATTCAAATTACATTCTTTAATGTATTGATTAAAAATCATTTATTATCATTTATTATCACTAATTATCACCTCATTATAAAATATTATTTAAATTAATTAATTAGATTAGAGAACAAAGAATGAACTGCTAAGATTTTTTTTACATATTTCAGATATTTGTTCATTCATTTAAAAATAACGGAAAAAAATGACATGCAAAATAATATCTTTAATTTTAAATTGATAACTTAATACCTTAATTTTTAATTGATAACTTAATACTTTGATTTTAAATACTTTGATTTTAAATTGATAACTTAATTTTAAATTGATAACTTAATACTTTAATTTTTAATTGATAACTTAATACTTTGATTTTAAATTGATAATCTTTTTCAATTATTAATTATGCTTTTTTTCTTTTCAGAACGTAATCATTTCTTTTGCTACCTGTTCTAAATCAAATGTATTATGCAAATCATACGCGATATTTAATTTTAATCATTTCAACATTGGCACTTTCAATTATTGCCAGTAATACATTGATTTTAAATTTTACAATTATCTGTATGTCGGATGAAATGATGGAAAATAATACGATGCAAACATTCAATTCAACAGCAAAACAATTATGCAAGTTTTTCATCTTCCATTCTTCCTTTCTTACATTTTCTTTGTCGTTCATTAAAAAGTGTAAAATGAAAATTGAAAATTAGAATTAAAATAATAATAATTAAGAAATTAATTGTAATTAAAAATTTATATTAAAACAGTAATAATTAAGAAATTAATAGTTTATAAGAATTAGTTGATAAGAATTAATTTGGAAATTCTAATAAGTAAACAAATATCATATTGCAAGAATAAATAGCATTATTGTAAAGAATAAATAGCAAATAATTTTATCATTAAATAATAGGTAAACAAAAACTTTATTCCAAAGATAAATAGCATACGGTAGGAATGAATAGCAAATACTTATGATAGAAGGAATAAATAGTTGTTAGGAATGAATGAACAAATAATTTTAATATATGAAATAAAATTTTATGAATAACAATTTCAATATGAATTAATAATATTTGTCGGAATGAATAAACAAATAATTCAAATATGAGTAATAATATTCTGAATAATATCATAACAATTTATATAGCTATGATATTTACTAATATTATTTTAAATTTAAATTTAAAAAAAAAAGGAAACTTGCTCATTAAAAAGTGTAAAATGAAAATTGATTTAACGGATAATTTATTTTTTTAACTGATTTAACTGATAAATTTAGCTGATAATTTATTTTTTAACTGATAAATTTAATTGATAATTTATTTTTTAACTGATAAATTTAACTGATAATTTATTTTTTTAACTGATTTAACTGATAAATTTAACTGATAATTTATTTTTTAATTGATTTAACTGATAAATTTAACTAATAATTTATTTTTTAACTGATTTAACTGATTAATTTAACTGAATTTATTTTTTAACTGATAATTTATTTTTAAACTGATTTAACTGATAAATCATTATTTTTAGATTTCTCAAAAAAGACATATCATTTTACAACAACTGAAAAAAGTTTATTATTTTCGGCAACAGCTATCGGTAATCTTATAGGTGTTTATCCAGTAATTCTGCTTGAAAAAAAATTAACAATTAGGTAAATTTTTTAAATTCGATTTTTTTGCACTTTTTTAAATGCTACTAAAATTATCAAATTATCAATTATCAGCTGATAATTTATAATTGTAGTTTTCAAATTTGATAATTTACTGATATCACAATTTGAATTATTATATCAGTGATAAAATAGATGAAATGAGAAATTTTGTATGATATTGAAATTTGATGAATGATAATATTACAATGTATTTTTCTTCAAATGAATAATTAATTATATATTTAAAATAATTTTAGGAAACTTTTTGCATTATTTGGTATAATATCGGCAATTTCCACATTTCTAATTCCATTGGTTGCAGATTTTGGATTTGAATTTCTTTTTGCGATGCGATTTTGGGAAGTATGAAAATTAAATTGCTTTAGATATTTTAATTAATTTTTAAAATTTGAAATTATATTTTTTAATTAAATTTTTAGGAAATAGTTAAATGAAATTTAGATTAGCAAAATATTTTTTCACATAGATCATACGGCAATCGATAGATGATCAATGATAAGTTAGTCATACGGTTAATTGACAAATTATTTCCCTGAAAAGTCATATTTGATAATTATTGATAATTATGTAGTTAGTAATAAGTTATACTCTTGCTGGTCATGTTGGTAATTCATTGATAATTATGGAGTTAGTGATAAGTTATACTCATGCTAGATTACATTCTTGATAAGTGATACTATTACTGATGAGTTAGTTGCACAGGTAAAATATATTAGAATAAAAATAATACACGAATAAATTAAATATGCAACATATTTAATTCAAATTTACCTAACAGCTATATGAATTTAAAAAAAACAAACAAACTTCTTTTTAAATTATTTTAATAGAAATTTGAAAATGACACGTTTTGATATTTGTACCTAAAAGGTACAAATTTTAGGTACAAATATCAAAACGTGTCATTTTCAAATTTCTACTCATTCAATTCATTTTCATACGATTTTTTTATATTTTAGGGATTTGCATATGCATCAGCTTTTCCAGTCCTTGGTACTATCACATCACAATGGTCATTATTAGCTGATAGTGGAATGTACACGTCATTAATGTTTTGTCATTTACAGGTTTGTGATAAAAGTTTCAAATGTGATTAATTTCTATCACCAAATAAATGATTATTTCAAATAGTTTTTGTCTCTCCTTTTCTTTTTAAAATGGATCAAATATTAGGCTATTGTTTTTTGTTTTATTAAAAATTGAACTTAACAAGTTTTTGTTTGTTTATAGATTGGACCATTGTTTACAATGCCTGTTTCGGGAGCTTTATGTGTATCATCATTTGGTTGGTCAGCTACATATTACATTCATGGAATACTAACATTACTCATTATGTTCTTATTTTATACTTTCTATCGTGATTCACCGAAAATTCATAAGTTTGTTAAACTATAATATTTTAAAAATGAATTCAAAAAAGGAAACCTGGTATTTAAAATGTAATATCAGGGAACCTGATTTATCATAATTTTAGATCGTGGTACTATCACATCACAATGGTTTTTTTTCCAGTCCTTGGTACTATCACATCACAATGGTCATCAGGGAACCTGATATTACATTTTAAATTTATGATCACTAGAATATTCCTAAATTTTAATTTTTTATTCCTGAATTTTATTTATTGATCAAAAAACAAAACAATTTCAATAATTCTTTTGAACAACACAAATTTCCACACATTTAGGAATGCAATGATAATAAATAATATCAAGTTGAAATCAATAAATAATAAATAATATCAAGTTGAAATCAATAAATAATAAATAATATCAAGTTGAAATCAATAAATAATAATCAGTTAATAATAAATAATATCATGTTAAATAATATCAAATTAAAATAATGATAAATAATATCTTACAAAGGTCTAATATCAAATAAGGATTTTAAAAGAATATAATAATTTTTGAATTGTACAAGGATTTGATTTCAAGTTAAAATTTTACAAATGCCTAGTATCAATCGTTGGAACGTTGCACGAATTTAATATATGATTTTTGAATGTTATGTTAAAGTAAAAAATCTTACATGAGTTCAGAAAAAAGTTTAAAGTTCATAGTACAAAAAGTTCAAATTTTAGTTCAAATCGTGCCGGAAATTAATATCAAGTTCCAATCCGACACAATCAAATAATACGATTAATTTCAATAGTAGTAAAAAACTTTTTTTTTGCTTAATACAGGAATGTTAGCTCGAAAGAATTGTCAAAAATCGAATTTGGTAAAGAGGTGACATATACGAAAACGATCCCTGAAGTACCATATGGTGCTATAATTCGTGATATTTCTATTTGGGGTATTTGGATTGCATCTATTGGTAGTACATTAGGCTTTCAAATATTTTTCCAATATGGACCGGTGTATCTTAATGAAGTTTGTCTTAATACAAATATATTAGCAATGATAAAAATCAATAAATTTCTATTATTTTTTTAAAGCAAAAAAATTTTGATAAATTTTCAACTTTAAATTTTAAGCAATTATATAATTTCATTTATCTTTTAAAAAGTTTTGCAAATGGAGTAAATTTAAAAATTGAAATTGAAATGAATATTTCACTAGCCTTTCATTTTCTAATATATACTAATCTGTTATTTATAATTTACTAATTTTAGGTATTAAATTTTACCGTAGAAAAAGCTGGTTTAGCTTCAGCATTACCAATGATACTATCGATAATTATTAAAGTTCTCGCTGGTCCATTAAGTGATCATGCTGATTGCTGTGGTGAAAAAGCTCGAGTAATGTTATTCACCCTTATTTCTCAAGGTTATTTATTTTTTATTTAAATTTAATTTAAATTTACATTAAATTTATTAAGTATTAAATTTAAATAATAAATTAATATTATTAAATATTAAATTAATTATTAAGTGTTAAATTAGATATTAAATATTAAATTAAATATTAAATATAATAAATTTATTAAATGTTAAATTATATTAAATTAAATTTAAAGGTTATTTATTTATTCAAATTTAATTCTTTATTTTTTTATTACACAATTTTGCTAAATTAATTTTTGCTAAATTTTTTTGCTTAAATCTTGCTAATTTTTGCTTAATTTTTCATTAATCGAACAATAATTAATTAATTAATTCACTGTTTATTATTTTACATTTATTAATTTTATAAACTAAGAATTTTTTATTCGTTTCTTTTTCACCACAATTTTATAACTAACTTATAATTTCATCTGAATTCTAAATAAGTCAATACTATTTATATATCTGATAATTATTATGACTCATTATTTAACTTTTAAAATTAAAAAGAATTCTAAAAAATGAATTGTAAATAGAGATTGATAAGGCTAGCATGCTATTATTCATAATTATTATTTTATTATTTTCCATCTCTCTCTCCCTCTCTCTTTTTCTTTACTTTATCAATTTTTCAGGTTTTATGATAGCATGCTTTGTATTCTTAGCATTATTACCAGCAGGTACTGCTAGCCTCGGTCAAATAGCATATACAGCGGCAATTGCATTTAGCGGATTAAATAGCGTAGGTATAATTAAAAGTGGACAATTGGTAAGTAAGCATATTTTTCATTTCTTATTTTATGTTTATTTTTGCAAAAGTATTTATTTGCTAATAAAAATAAACAAAAGAAAAGTAAACAAAAGTTTTTTTTTCAAATACCATAAAATTTTATTTAAAAGATATTTGTAAAATATGAAAATAATTATTTAACAAAAAAATTTTATAAAATTAAATTATAATATTTGAATTGATTAATTGAAAATGGTTAATTTTAGGTTGCACGTCAACATACACATTTCGTCCTTTCAGTCTTATCAATTATCAACTGTTTAATAATATTAATTATTCCATTTTTCGTATCATTTCTTGCACCAAATAATACTGTTGGACAATGGTACGAATAAAATTAATTTTAATCAATCAATTAATTTTAATTAATCAATTAATTTCAATCAATCAATTAATTCATCAAATATTGCACCTATATTATTAACCAACGATACTTTTTGATCCAAATATATGTACCAATAATTTTAACCATAATAATAATATAGCACCAAAATGATAAACAATAAATATTATCAATAATTCTAATATTTTCCTTAACTAATTAATCGGTCACATAATCAGTTTATCAAGAATTTTAACAATAAGTTTATACATTAGGAGTAATTAACAATTAAACACTATCTGATAACGATTTCTTTAATGATAAGGCTTAATTTACATTCAAATATTACCTACATTTAGCTTAATTAATAAATAAAAAAAATTGACAACAATTTTAAACGGGTACTTTTAACAAATTTTTTCAATCCTTTTTTAAACTTAATTTGCAACAAAATTGATAAAATGATCGTTTTATTAGTTAATTAGAAAAACAATTGAATTTTATTTGTTAATTATTTGCATTATTATATATAAAAATTAAGGAAATAAATATGTATTTTTGTTCGGTATCTTTCAATTTTTCTTTCTCTCATTTTGTATATAATTAAGAGAATAAATAATTTTTAATTGTTTTTTTTTTCCAGGTCAATTATTTTCTATATAATTATTGGTTTAATGATTATTTGTAATGGTTTTTTCTTCTGTGTTGGTCAAGCATCACCAGCATCATGGACTAAAGTAAACAATCATCAGGTGTATACAACGAATCAACCTGAAACGATCAATGCTGTAACAATGAATGGATGATGATAAGTTGTAAGTTATAAAATATAAATAGCAGCAAAATATGTATAATGAAAATAAACGAAAGATTATTTGTGTTACATACAATTTCTATTTATCCATTCATTTCAATCATTCAAATTTATGTGTACATATTGGCTTACACGTGAATAATAACACGAATCACGTGAAATTGACACGTAAAACAAAAATAGAAAAAAAACCAGAAAAATACGTTTCTCCACTTTCCTCTCCGATCACATCAAATAAATTTTGAAATATTTTCATTTAATATTTACTACGAAAAAGATTTTATATCCTTTTAGACGTATAAGCATAATGCATAAATAGA